AAATGTGCAAAGGTGTTTCTTCTTCCTCCTTGCATCCCCATATTGTGCATGTGTCTGTTCAGTCCACAATGCCCTGTGAGTGCTCGTACTAGTGTGCGAAGGTGAGTTTTGGTTAAGTTTAAGGCCTCTGATGCCGCCTTTTTGTTGAAGGTTTTAATCAGGGTCTTAGAGTGTTTCATACCGGGAGTGTTTCTCCATAGTTGAATAGCTGCGTAGTGGCAGTATGTTTTCAAGGTGAGCTGGGTTAGGCTTTGAGGGATGCCACAGAAAGGTTCTGGTCCGATAAGGGAGTCTTTAGCACCCTTCTTCGCCAGTTTGTCCGCCTATTCATTGCCCTCGTGTCCAGCGTGACCTGGAACCCATCGTAGAACTACTTTGTTGTTGTTGCCCAAAGAGTTCAGTGTCTGTTTGCAGTTCTCGACCAGCTTCGATCTAGTTATGTCGGAAGCTAGTGCTAAGAGTGCAGCTTGACTATCAGAGTGGATGTAGATAGTATGATTGAGGTAGTTATTTTGCAGATTGGCTGCCGCACATTCCAAAATGGCGTACACCTCTGCCTGGAATATTGAGGAGTACTTTCCCATGTTCAGACTTATAGCCTTCCTTGGGACTTCTCCATGAATTCCACATCCTACCTCAGGACCGAATTTGGAGCCGTCAGTGTACCACTTTAGGCTTCCATTTTTCCATACTATACGATTGTTTGACCAGTCGTCCCTGGTGGGTATCTCCACAAGATATGACCTGTGTGAATCGATTCTCGGGGGCATGGCGTCAGTAGGCATCCCCAGGATTGGTATATTGCATATTGAGTCCTTCAGGTACCTCAAATTACCTGACAGCCATGTCTTCGCCTCCATGCTAGTAATCCTGTACATGCTAGCCCTCGCCACCATTTCAATGTGTAGATGTAGGGGCGGTAGGTTTAGCAGAGCCTCAAGGGCTGCAGTCGGGGTGGAAGACATAGCTCCTGTTACTATAAGACAAGCAGTCCTTTGCAGACTGTTAAGTCTTGATATGATAGTACTCGGTGTCGTTTTTCTACTCCAAACCACCGAGGCGTAAGACACCATCGGCCTTATGATGGCTGTGTAGAGCCAGAGGGCTATATTGGGTTTCAAGCCCCATCTATTTCCCGCTAGCCGACAACATATCATCAGAGCTGTTTTAGACTTCTGTATAATTCCGTCCACATGTGCGTTCCAGGTAAGTTTCTGGTCCAGTGTTACCCCCAGATCCTTGACCTCTGTCGAGAACGGAATGAGCCTCCCATTCATGGTCGGAGGCAAAAGCTTGTCCAGTTTTCGTTTCCTTGTGAATGGGACGACCACGGTTTTGCCTGCATTAATCGACAGATTATTGTTTTTACACCATGAGTTAATTGTGTTCAGCGCCCTCTGCATAAGGTGCGATAGCATACTTTGGCAGTTTCCTCTCACTATCACCACCAGGTCATCGGCATAGCCCAGGGTGTCAAAGCGGAGTTCAGCCATCTTATGGAGAAGCTGATCCACCGCAAGAGTCCACAGTAGCGGAGAGAGTACTCCACCTTGTGGGCATCCTCTTGTTGTTGCTAACTCTAGTGAATCATTGAGTAGTTCCATCCTCACTGTCCTACTCTCTAGCATGGCTCTTATCCATCATGGCTCTTATACAGTAGTGGAGTCAATCTCTTTATGGACTAATCCTCTTACTAATGTCTCGGTGGGCGTGTTATCGAACGCTCCTTCCACATCAAGAAAAGCAACGAGTGCTATTTCTTTATCGTCCAGTGCCTTTTCAACCTTGTCTATAAGGTTTAGTAGGGCAGTCTCCGTAGATCTGCCGCTTCGGTAGGCGTGCTGGGTATCATGTATGGGTTTGTTGATAAGACTCCCTTGTCTGATATAATTGTCTAAAACCTTCTCTATGGTCTTCAGAAGAAATGACGTGAGGCTGATTGGCCTGAAGGACTTTGGTGATGTATAGTCCTTCTTTCCAGCTTTAGGTATGAACACGACTTTCACCTTAGTCCACAGATCTGGAATATATCCCCAGGCGAAACTGGCTCTGAAGATTTTTACCAGATAAGGGATGAGATTGGCGGCACCCCGTTGTAAAAGCACCGGGAATACGCCGTCAATTCCACCTGATTTAAAAGGTTTAAACGAGTTAATGGCCCATTTCACTATTCCAGGCCTAATAACGAGAGCGGCTCTTCTCCAGTCCTCTGGTAGAGGCCTTCGAAAGTGATCGCTACTGCATTATCAGTAGATCCTAGAAAATGGGTGATAGCCATTAGCTGCAAGGTTTTCTTCTCGTTAGTCGTGAAGGTCCCGTTCGGTCTTTTAAGGAGACCTAAGGGATTACAGTGTGCCTTTGCCATGATCTTATGAAGTCTTGCTCCTTGAGGCATGTTAGTTATCTCCTCGCAGAACTTCCTCCATGATACACGCTTGGCTTTTCTAATTTGTTTACTGTATTCGTTTAGGGCCATCCTGTAGGCATCCCATTCATGGGTGATTTTGGCCCTATTGAATAACTTTCGTGTTTCCTCCCTAAGCTTTTTCAGCTTTGAGTTCCACCACGGTACTTTCCTTTTCTCTGCCGGGCGCGCTGTGGCAGGAGAGGGCGGGGGCGGGGGCGGGGGCGGGGGCGGGGGCGGGGTTGTACCTTGAGGCTCCACAGGCGCAGGGACCAGTCCACGGAGGCGGTGAGGTAGAGGTGCGAGAGGGGGGCGCTGCCGGGCGCGCTGTGGCAGGAGAGGGCGGTGACGGGCCCCGCGTGCGCCTCAACGCACTCGCCGATGCCCGCGCGCTGCCCGTACAGGCAACCTGCAACCAACACACACACTCACAATCATTTACAAAACGCCGCCGGTAAGCTCATAAAACAAGAGAGGTGTAAACGACAATTTTTATATATTTTTAATAAAAGTTTCATTCACATAATAAGTTTATTATAATAAGTAAATTTAATTTTAGTGTTTTCATAATTAATTCAAGCAGTATTCTAAATATAATAAGCGTAAAACTGTGATTATCAGTAATATATTAAACACTACCAGAAAAAGAAAACTTTTTTTTTTTCATTTTCTGTCTATATCTGTACTGTAAAGAATGCAAACTAATTAACCATGGTTGTACGAGCAAGCTACTTACATTGCTTTTACCCTAGTGAAAATGTGCTAATGGGTCGACTGGGCTACTTCTTTAATGGTATTTAATTTCACGACAAACCATTTTCGTTATTTTTAAGATCAAAAAGAATGTGCCCCAATATTACGCCTGCTTAGACAAATCGAAATCTGATAAACAAAAACAACTTTCGCATTATTGTTTTCTCTATTACACTTAACACATTGATTTTAAAGATATAATAAAATCTTTTAATCAGCTAAAGAAAAAGAAAACCGCTGATTTATGGGGTAATTCCATTGAAGTTTCTAAATCGGTAATTGAGACAATAGCTCCAATCTTAGCTTATATATTTAATGAATGTACTGATTGTGGTATTTTTCCTGAGCTCATGAAATATAGTAAAATTATTCCTTTACATAAATCGGGTAGCACATCTGACCCTTCTAACTTTAGACCTATATCCGTGCTACCTACGTTTAGTAAGACTTTTGAAAAAATCATGCTGGATCAAATACAAACGTACTTTTACAAGAATAAGCTTATGAATCGACAACAATTTGGTTTTACAAGGGGTCGCTCAACAACAACAAGTCGGTGTCGAGTTAATACAAGAAATTTTTAATGCCTGGGAGGATTCACATGATGCGTTAGGTGTTTTCTGTGACCTGGGTAAGGCATTTGAAACTGCATTTTTATGGATTTAGACATAACTCATTGGATTTTATTGTCTCATACTTGACTGACAAAGTACAGAGGGTTGATATCAATGGCAAAAAATCCCCTGGATCAAAAATTAAGATGGGTGTTCCGCAGGGCTCAATACTTGGTCCTTTCTTGTTTTTGATTTAAATAAATGACTTGACTTATTTCGTAAGGGATGATCACGAAATAGTTTTGTTTGCGGATGACACTTCACTTTTGTTTAAAATTAAAAGAGGGTTACCTCTAAATGACGATGTGAACAATTCTATCGCTAAAGTAGTACATTGGTTTAATGTAAATAATCTTCTCCTTAATGAAGGAAAAACAAAATGCTTAAAATTTGTACTACCTAATGTTAAAAAAGTAGATATAAATGTTAATATAAAAGATAAGAACATGGGCCTTGTGGATAGCACAGTATTTTTAGGAATAACATTAGATTCTAAACTACAGTGGGGCCCACATATTGATAGATTGTCGAGTAGACTTAGCTCTGCAGCATATGCCGTAATGAAAATACGTAGGTTAACTGACATAGATACTGCCAGATTAGTATACTTCAGTTACTTTCATAGTGTAATGTCGTACGGAATCCTATTGTGGGGAAATGCTGCCGACATACAAACAATTTTTGTGCTTCAGAAAAGAGCAATTCGATCAATTTATAATCTTAGGATTAGGGACTCTTTAAGGGAGAAATTTAAGGAAATAGACATTATGACTGTTGCTTCTCAATACATATACGAGAACTTAATGTACGTTCGTAAAAATATTAGTTTGTTTTCTATAAAAAGTGATGTACACAATTTTAATACAAGAAATAAAAATAAATTAACGGTGCCTGTCACTAGACTGCAAAAAGTTAATAACTCATTCAAGGGTCTTTGTGTGCGCTTCTACAATAAGGTCCCAAGCAAAGTACAACAATTAGATATCATGCAGTTTAAATCTACTATTAAAAAAGCTTATTATAAGGTATCCGATTATATAACAGATAAGAACGCTTGGACTTGAGATGATCCAGCAACTGGATAGGTGATTACTTCTAAACTCATTATCTTGTTTCCATTATTATTAAATGATTATGTTATCATTATAAGACCATATTTTTTTTTCTATATCTGTTTATAATGTATTGATCTGGTAATGACATGGTTTTTGTAAATGTCATTACTCTTATTAGAGCTGGTGAGTTTCTTGCTCGTTCTTCTTATCAGCCAAAAGACGTCCTGAACGAGTGGTAGGGAAAAAAATGTTGGACGATTCAAAAGCACTTTTAAGAAGTCTAATTGAATAAAGATTATTTTGACTTTGACTTTGACTCTAGACGTTAAAAAAAGCAGATTAACGAGCGTCTGTTGCGATACTTATTCAATATCGACAAGTACTCGAATACTCAAATTTATATGTTCGATAATTTTCGCCTATCACTAGTCACGAGTATTTTACAGAGATACCACGCGCTCTCTCAGCGACTACAATATACAACATACCTGTATAAACATCACCGTCTTCGCTGCCGAGTACGAAATTATTGACGTCCCCGTACGGGAAGCCCATGCATGTGACCGCGACGGCTTTGCTCTGCCGATGCTGCAGGTCCAACGTCTCCTGCGGCGCTGACAACATGTCTAGCGACCAGGAGCACATGCGACCGTCCGTCGATACTGAGATCAGATTGTGCGCATTCTGACTGCCCACCACTGATAGACAGTATACTGGGTGCTGTAAATAAACCAGATTCTATGGACTATTCCGAACTAAATTATATCTACCAGCGCTTCATCGCCTTACATAACACAAAGGAACGATGAACTATTATAATGTCAGTCGACTTTTTATGTCACCTTAATAATTCTCCTACTTCAAACTGATATGCTTCTATTTAATAAAAAGGCATAAAGCCAGTTTCACAAACGTCCATTAAAACTCTCATTATTTTTAAAGCGATATTACGGATGCAAATTTGACATTCATTAGAGCTTACAGGCATCATTAAACATTTGTTAATAAACGTTTATGCAACTGACCGATAGAAAGACGAAAAATGATAAAGAATTAACATTTATAATGGTTGGTATCCGAGTGTACAGAAATCGTCAAAAATCACTCGGCGTTATAAAATTTTACCTCTCCGTAAATCACTGTCATTGTCATTAACTCTAGAAATGCACATGTAGCCGCATCAATTATTATTTGATTTAAAAGATTATTACATTAACTTAATAAAAATATTACTTATAATTAAAAAAAAATCCTAATGCCACAAAAAAATTATGCAGGTTTTGCTACCGTAAGTCGTAATTTGCGCTTCCTTTGTGGGTATAAAAAGGTCAACGCGCGGTCAATATTCAAACATTGACGCGGACACACGAACAGATTTAACAGAAGAAAACACCTCGAAGATGGATAACACAGCTGATGAAGCCGCCTAAGTGGTCAAACTCCTACAATCAGGGATGCGACAGTGTCATGTTGCTCGGCAACTGAACTTAAGCCGTTTTTGGGTTCGAAGAGTGTACCAACGCCAGAGACTAAAGACCGGTGGCTACATCCGCAGACGTGAGTCCGGTAGACGTAGCTATATTTCAGAAAGGCAACCGGTTTCTTGTGTCGAACTCTTTGATAAATCATCTCTCCTACGTTTTTAAGTTACAACAGCAGCTCGAGGCAGTTTGCATATGCACCGTGAGCATCTCTACAGTTAGAAGTAGACTGAAAAAGAATAAAATAGCGGCCCCCAGAGCTGCTACGGCGCATCGGCGAACCCACTTGCAGTTTGTTCGTAACCGTCGATTACTCCATTTGAGCAGTGGTCAGTTTGAGCTCCATCGTCACGAACGACAGAGCCCCGCATGTCGCCCGAAGGGTTATTTACTGCTCCGATTCACCCTGGTTTCGGAGAGATACCGTTTAAGACTGATACCCTCAGCCATTCATCCCTCGGCACGGTACGATTGACACCTTAGATTGGGGTTTTTGGAGTCGAGGTTGTCTCCTCCAGGAAAGATTAGAGATAGGATGGAAGGAAAGGTTAGGAGGGGAATGGGAGGGATGGGATTGTTGGAATTATGACGGGATTGAGGGTTCAGGACTGCCTGCAAGGTGTGACTGCCATTGCAGACATCGTCCCCATACTTGGCTGCTTTGGGGTCCGGGGTAGATGGTAAGTATGCGGCGCCCGTTGCGATCCCAAAACATTTCCAGGGTGTACGACGCGGACGTGTATGGTGGACTTGAGGGAAGAGTCTATAGCTCAGCGCCGCATACCAGAGCGTACTCAACCCTCCAACACCCCTTTGTACCTTAGTTAATTAATTAAACTATGTCACTTGAGTCGAAAAGAAAACGTGTATTTTCGTATCAATGCATTTTGAGTCAAAAATGAATAAAAATTATTGATTGTAATGTGAGCTGTTTACATTTAAACCTTACGTTGAATCAATGCTTCGAGAACTTTAAAAGGTCTGCACTTCATATTATGATATTTATCGTATTGAAAGCTCCGCGCTTCGTACTGTATTATATTGTATTGGAAGCTACGCGCTTCATACTGTGACATTTATTGTATTGGAAGCTCCGCGCTTCGTACTGTTTTATTATCGTATTAGAAGCTCCGCGCTTCATACTGTGACATTCATTGTATTGGAAGCTCCGCGCTTCGTACTGTTTTATTATCGTATTGGAAGCTCCGCGCTTCATACTGTGACATTGATTGTATTGGAAGCTCCGCGTTTCGTACTGTTTTATTATCGTATTGGAAGCTCCGCGCTTCATACTGTGACATTTATTGTATTGGAAGCTCCGTACTTCGTGCTGTTTTATTATCTTATTGGAAGCTCCGCGCTTCATACTGTGATATTGCTGTATTGAAGGCTCTGCACTTTGCGCGACATAGTTCCTGTTTTGTAACTTCATGTTCGAGATTTAAGTGCACGAACTGTTGCGCTCGAGAACGCGCGCTGTGTCAGAATGGCCGTGTCGGGATTATTTTATTTTATAACGCTGTTTGTGGGTATTTACACACATAAAAATTAACTGTCCCCGAGTCAGTAGTTCGAGTAAGTAGTTTGAGATAGCACGTTTCGTCAATATTATTAATGATCTGTGAATGTTACGAACAGCAAGTGTGTCCCCGCCTTTATATGGTAGAATGGACCGAATACCTTGATGTCGACTACCTCCGAGTGACGGTTGATGACGGAAGTGCTCTCATTCTGCTCTGGAAACTCGAAGGTGTCGGATGTGCACACTGACTCGTTACGTTTTAGTCAAGATGGCGGACGGGAATGAAAATCCTCAACCTTATCCGTTTTCATCCGCGACATACATATATTGTTTTTGCTTCTATTCAACAAGTATTGGGTTAGATCAATGAGCATTCAAATTAAGAGGAGTGGGGCTCGCTACGTCACAGTTTTGAAGAAAATGTACTAAAGCGTGACGTCTTGCGACATTTCAACTCAATGTATCGCCGTAATTTATTGATTACGCAAAAAAAACGTGTTTAATATTTTTCAATAATCTGCTTGACGGACAAGAAAACAAAAATTAGTCATCATCCCTATTCCGCAAGTACTCTCGATTGCATATATGTAAGAGTTTCTATCGCATGCACTGTGAGTACAATTACTTATAATATACTTTTTCGCTTTATTAATATAGTTGTACACATTACGATAACTGATGTCGGATTTCGCCGTACTATGGGAAAATCGTGCCGGTTTCATGTCATAAATTAAAATTGAACATGATAATGTTTAGTACATGTTAAGTTTAAATTAGTAACTAGATTTAATTTTGTTATAACATCTATTCATAGTTACGATAACTGTTACCTAAACCATTCGTTACGATTTATTCCTTTGTTAAAAAAAAGGTTTTTTCATTAGCTTAAGTAAAAAACTACTACGATGGTCTATGGTGCAAAAATAAATATATTGTCACAAAAAAGTGCCAAAACTACGTCTTATAGCTCTACAGATTTTTTTATTATAAGGTATTCTTAGACTCGTTATGAAAGAATCTGAAGTTATATACTTCAGACCGTATGTAGAACGTCTTCATTGGTAGTCATTCTAGAGCATTTTTAGCAGGGCGAAGTTTGAAACGTTTATAGTTTTTATTTCATGATTTTTGAGCATCTTTATAGAGCTAGCTGGCCAAGGTGCAATAAAGAATAATGACGAATTACACTTTCCCTATGAATCAGAACTTTATGTACAGAAGAGGGCGTATAATGCCACTCATATTTGGTAACAAAGAGCTGTGCTGTATCGTATGCGTACCGTTCAAATTCCGTGGCATTAATATTTTTCCCACTTGCCATTGCTTGAAGCACTATGTAAAAACGCTTTATATTTTACGTAATTTCAATACTTACACTATTTTTTGTTGACCAAAGTAGGGGAAGTGTTGATATTTGTGTAGTAATTTTGTTAACTATACAAGTAGTTTTTTCAGGGGTCTTCTTTAAAAATTCTATTAAATTCGGACGACAAAATCAAACACATGTTGGACCAGTATTTTTTCTAATTACTTGATTTGTATTTACTTTAATGTGTTTTAGAGACACTAGTGAAGATGTAAATAAAGGAGAATGGGCAATTTACTATGAGAGGTCGGCTATTTTTGCATAACCGTGCACATTGTTGAAACCAACGGTAAACGATTCTCTATCGTATTTCTAGAATGAATAGGAAAAAACCCATTTTAAATATATGCCGGAGTTTGAGCATATCTGAATATTTAACAGAGATTTTGAGGTTAAAATATCTACGTATATAAGAATAATAAAATGAATATTGTATTTCAAACAATCGATGACTAACAGATATAAATATTTAATTGCGAAAAAGTACATATCTATACCTATATTATAAAAAGGAAAGATTGGATTTTTTATTTGCTTGTATTCACTGCCCACTTGATCCATCACAACCCCATTTATAATACAAATTCAAGTGAGTTAATCCACCTATGTAAATTTCATTTATCTGCAGAATTCTGGCTCTGGTACGATCTAATAAATCTTGCAATTTTATTTTTACTGACGTTGGAAATTTCGATGCTTGAATTAGGCGGATAGCATATCTTTTTGGCTTTTAAAGTAGAAGGGGTACGATGGAAATAACATGCATTTTTTTGCAATTGAATAATCTTTTATGATTTTATACTGTGGTTTATCCAAATCCAACTCTATGAAAATGCTGAGGGCTTCTTCTGATGAAAATGCTGTGAAATGCGCTGACTCATTGAATGAGTTATATATTTTTATTTCGCTTTTCTTATCGTCTGGTAGAGCCCGTAGAATTTCAGATGAAACTATAAAAGCTTCATCTGTTGCGCCATTAGATCTCAGACCCTGGATCTATGAATTCATGATAAATTTATTCTTTATTTTTTTTGATCTCTCCGAACTATCGTCGTAACTTTTAGAAAGCCTACCTCTCTTCTCTGCTGATGTTGATTGATCTAACTCACACATATGGTATTCAACGTTTAGAGTGAATATCCCGTCCAGCCATCCGTTGTTTTGTGTTAAGAAATTTTATTCTTTTCTCCAAGCCTTTTTTATAGCGTTGACGAAACTGACTAATTATATTTTTTTGTATGTTAACAAATATTGTTGCTAAATTTTCTTCTGTAGTTTCTTAATTGTTATTATCGTCTTTATAGTTTGTTAAAGCATAAAAATAATTTGTGCTATTATTTTCAATCAATATGAGACATAAGTCGCGTCTATCACAAGATAATGCAACCATGGGGAAAAATAATAAACACTTATGCACGGCAAAATCAATTCAAAAACTGTTATTTTTGATGTTAAATAACACTAATTTATACTTAATTATTATTATGGGTCGTGTGCAACGTGGTTTTGAAATGAAATAAGTGCTAAAAATGTGTGTAATATAAGATAAAAAGATATTTATAATTTCGTGGTTATGAGGTATCGGCATTCTATGTGACCCTAATAACACATAGCTTTATCTATGGGGACACTTGGTACGATATAGAGCACAAATACCTTTTCAAAATAACAACCGCTATAAAGAAAATTCTAGTATAATAAGCAAATTCAACTATTAAATAAAAATAACTTATTTGCGTACTTTTGACTAATGTCGTATTTAAATTAATTAAGTCATGTCGCGCATCAAAGTCGCAAGATTTTCTTTCTGACAGTAAATAAAAAAATATATTTTTTATAAAGAAACATCAATATTAAACTTCGGCAAGCTTTCGGCAACTGTCAAAACTTTCGTTGAAAGTTTGTAAAATGCAAAATCGATATGTTATACGATGTACAGTAGCGGACATGGCCGCTCTTGCACCCATAAGGCCAATATCGCTTGCGCTAAATCTAACGTAAATATCTCACCCGCTTCATTAATGGAACGTCTGTGTCGTTTGCGCACGTTACATTTTTGTTGTCTGTCGCATATTGCTGCGACGTTGCCAGCGCGGATTAGACCGGTCGTTACTAATTTATGATTTTTTGTGTATTGTTAAATAATGAAAATTCTCGAAGATTCATTTTTTGCATACGCTGCTCTGATGGCCAGTTTTGTTACTTTTATAATTATGGAGTAACTGGTGAGTTTTATAAGAAAAATAATTACTATATTATTAACGTAAGATTGATAAAAATGCAATCACTTCATGTTAATTTACTTATTTTTCTTAATACAAAATTCTTAAAAAATCCACTTGGTCCCTGGCACCCTGACATGGAATTCGAACCCACGACCTTATGCAATCGACATTTTGTATTAAGAATAATTTTCAGGATAGCATTGTGAATGCGAAATTAATCAAATATAATAATTTACTTATTATATATAATAGTTTTATATACTGAGAAAAAACAAATCAATTGTGTTAAAAATAAAGTGTATTTAAAATACATAATACAAAATTGTTTCGTCGATTC